GATTTTTTTTTGCAATTTCTCAGTTGGTCTAATGAAAGTATCATTTCTGAACCAAGGGTTCTAGATTTTTGCAGAACTGGTTGGCATTCTGCTTCCACAGTGAAACAATCAATCTGTAAAGGGCCTTGAAAGGGACCTTGCATGTCCTGCATCCCACACAGAGTGGGGCCTCTAGTTTCTGCAATCCAAAGGAGTGAAGTTTGGGGATGAGGTAATGACAGGGCTAGCAGACCCCCAGGTTACCATCCCCAAGGGCTAGATATCATAGCAGTTGCAGGGGCTACTCAAGCCACAGGGTAGATCCAGTACCATTCCACACCCTGAGGAATTAGTCCCTGTATGCTCTGGACCTCTTCGGTTTATAGCCCCATAATTTTGGATTAACACTGAGAAGATCTGACCCATTATGTTACCCCTAGCTGTGAAACCAAGGACACATCACAACACATTGATGCTGGTGAATTGTTGTCAGCCAGGATCGAGAATAGACAGCTAACCCTTATCCTGGGGTACTTGCTACAGTAGGCATTATTACTAGGGGATCTACTTAATTTGCAGTTTCGCAGTTTTTGCAGACACCACAAAAATGGCATTGGCCACAATCGCCAGGAAATACTGCATTGGCCACAGTTTCCTGCAAAATCAACCTAAAAAAAGCGCCCAGTGTAATACACTGTTCCAGAATGTTATTTGAATGCTTACCGCAATAGAAAGACAGCACAACAGTCACTGCAGCCATAGATCACGTGTCAGAGTTGACTGTCTGCTAGTGACATAGACTAAATGAAGGCGCCAGTCAGTGAAGTGAAAATATTTCTATTAAGGTTAACATTAATTAGTATTTCTAAACTTTTTGTAGAACTCTACATATAATAAATTGTGATGATAGAAGTTACAATTAATATGGTACATAAGTCTGTATTTAAATATATTTAAATTTAGATTTAAATTTAAGATTTTGCTTTATAATATGAAAAATTATATGATATAATTTATTGTATATGCCTCTCTGTCGATCAGTGGTGAAGGGCAGGGCCGTTGGGAAATGCCCACAAAATTGGCTCTTTATGCCATGACCAAGCCGCAAAAATTGCTTTGTCTCTCCATGAGTTAAGCAGATCCCTAATTATTATAGTGCCTTACCATGAGGTAACAAAAAGCAGGTAATAGTCTGTTTGCATTGGTTACTGCACACTCATGACACCTACACTGATTTAACTTATACTAGTACTTATTTACATCAAGTAATCCTAAATTACACAGGGTGGATTTGATTTGAAATCAAATTGATTTAAATCATGATTTAAATCACTGCTCGGGAAGCCTCAATTTAATAATTTTTTTCAATAAAAATGCATTCTTATTGTTGGATATCCTTTATTCATTTAATTTCTTGAAACCTTGCACTTTTAGAGAAAGGTAAGGACTTGACTGTGTGTACACAAACTTGCAGAGACACAACAGGGCTGATGGGTGGGTAATCAAGCCTGTTACCTCTCATCTCCATGTTAACAAGGATGTTATCTCTGGAGACAACAAACATTTCCTGTACCTGAAGAAGGGCATTTGTGCCCAAAAGCTTGCAAAGGGCAATTTTTCCAAATATTTAATTGGTTTAATAAAAGATATCACATCTACCCAAAGAACTTTGTCTGCTCATGATATCTGGAAAAAATCTTAGCAAGCTTTTGGGTATGAATACCCTTGGTCAGGCTGAGGAAGCATCTGCAGTTGGTGTGTGCTCTTCCTAATAAAAGATATCAGATTTACCCACAGAACCTTGTCTGCCTATGCCCTTAGACCAACACAGCTACAGTCTACACCCCTGTGATCTCTGAAGACACAAATCCAGTTTGAGAACTGAAACAAGGCATCACAGAGATGCTTAGTGGCATCTTCTAGACTGAGCACACTCCCATTGGGTAGAGTGGTTTTCTTTAGTATTTACTAATATGTAGAAGAGCCTCTGTGAACCCCATAAGATTGGGCTCCTAATATAGTCCATGGGCCTGTTGTGACCTAATTATAAAACCTATCTATAAAACTTCTAAAAAGGTTACATGAATGTATTGTCTCAAATAGTATATAATTAGAAGATATAATCCCTATTCCATGATGATATCTTTGAGCTTTAAATTAAAACTATCTTTATGTGAGGTTTTTTTAAAAAGCATCGTAACAAAAAAAGCAAAAAAAATGATTAAATCAAAAAAATCTGATTTAAATAAAAAAATACATTTTTTTAATGTTTTTAAATCGTTGATTTTTTTTATCCACCCTGAAATTACATAAAACATGCAACTGAATGCACATGGGTCTAAGCAAGTGTATGCAATATTGACAGTACAGATAAAGATAAAATATTTAAGTTGCAGAGACCATGCATGGATTTTTTTTTTAATATTCTCCTTTTATTAGGAAACAAAGTGTGGATGTCTTGATCTGATTTTATCTCTGAAGTGCATTTATG